TAAAATATAATAATAATATCAGTATTAATAATAATGAAAATAATAACAATAAAAATACTACTACTACTACTAACAATAATAATAATAATAATAATAAATATAATTTAATAAATAATTCAAGAAGTTCATTGCAACAGAATATATCATATTTAAATGAAATTAATAAAATAAATGACAGTACAAATAATTATAATGAAATAAATATAATAAATAATTCTAATATGTCATTAAATTATTCTATTGATAATATACATAATAATAAAAAAGAGTTCAATATTAAAATGAATAACAATGATAATAGTGGCAATAATAATAATGATAATAATATTAACATTAATAATAAAATAACTAATAATAGAAATCGTAATCATAATAATAGTATTAATGACGATTTGAACATTGATAGTAATCGTAATCAAAATCATAATAATAACAGTAATAATCATAGCAATAATAAAAATAATAATAGCATCCATAATAATAACAACAGTAATAATAATAGTAATGGTAATAAGAATAATAATAATATTAATAACATAAGTATTGATAGTAATCATAGTTATAATAATAATAGAAATAATATTAATAAATTATCTAAAGTAGCTAACGAATGGGGAAATTATAATGGACAGTTTGATGCATTTAATAAAAATAATTCCCCTTTAATTATGATGAATTGTAATGATAAAGAAAATTTTAGTTTTAAAAGGAAGAAAACAGAAGCATTAGTAGAAAACGACAATAATAATAACAATAATAAAAAGTTAAAAAAAAAAAAAATACAACACGAAGGAAAATCTTTTTGTATGACAAATGAACTAGTAATGAATAAAAAAGTAAAAAACAATATATGTGATAAATCATTAAAAAATTCTTTAAATAAAATAGATAATACACACACTAGTAAAAAGAATTCTGTTAAAAGTAAAAATCTTGAGGATAATAATAATAATATAGATGATTATAATAACAACATTTGTAATATGAATTATATATCTTGTAATAATAACAATAGCTATCAAGGTGATGTATATTTAGGAGAAAAAGTATCTAATACGTATATGAATAATATAATTATAGATAATAATAGTGATATAAAATCAAATATGAACTTAGATGCTAATAATTTTATTGGTAATAATAATAGTATTTTAAAAAAAGATTCAAAAATTTATAATAGCATTAAGGATGATAGAAATGATATTAATATTCATGGTATATCGACTATTAATATTTCTATGAAATGTGATAATAGAAATATAAAAAAAAATCTTTTAACACAAATGAATAATACTAAGTTTAGTTTAATTAATGATAATATTTTGAATAATAACATGAATAATGATCTAAATAAAAATATTTTTAATCCTAATAATCCTAATAATAATAATAATACAGATTATAAAAATGTAATGATAGTAAATGATGAAACAAAAATAATAAAAAATAAATTCGATTTACAAGAAAAAAAAAATTACTTTGATTTTAGTAATAATACTAACAATAAGAATTATGATCTAAGAGAAAATTATGATAAATTAGAAGAGAATCATGATAATGATAATGATAATGATAACAACTTCACTATGAAAAATAACTTAAAGTATATAAGGACCTCTAGAAAAAAAACCAGTAATCCAAAGTATCCCAATAAGGATATATATAATAAGTCATTAGAAAAAATAGAGGAAATAGAAAAAAGAAATAACAAAAATAAATTAAAAAGTATTTTATCATCAACATACACTGGAGATAATTCTTATCAAACAAATAAAACTAACATATTAAATTTTGTTGATGAGAAAAATGAGAAAAATGTTAGTAGTAAAGAAATTGTTAGTGAAACCAAAATTAGAAAGAAAAAAGGAAGAAAACCAAAAAATGCACTTTTACAAACAGATAAAAGTAATTCTAAAGAATCAAATATACAAAATAAATCATATGAGAACAAATTAAGTACAAATAAAGAAATAGATAAAACAAAAACATCCGATTCAAGAAGAAAATCTAAGTTAGGAAAAAAATCGTTAGATGCAAAATATGGTGTAGAAAAGGTTGAAACTGGTGCTTATAATGAGAATGGGGAAAAAGTTTCAGGAGTTTGGTAAGAATTTAAGAATATTATAAAAAAAGATAAGAAATTTTATAAATTCAAACTTCAACATATATATATATATGTATATATGTATGTATAATTTTTTTATTTTTTTGTTTTCTTTTAAGGTATGATACGAATAGAAGATTATGGAGAGTTATGTATATGGAAAATGATAAAAGAAAGACAAGAGGTTTTTCTCCTCGTATTTATGGTTTTAATGTAGCAAGAGAGTTAGCTGTTCAATTGAAATATGAAATGAATAAAAAAAATAAAAAATGATTAGACACTTTTTTTTCATTTTATTATATATATACTTATTTTTTTTTTTTTTTTTTTTCATTCACATTTTCTTATATTTTACATTTTTCATATTTTTTTGTTTTTTTTTTTTTTTTGTTTTTTTTTTGTTTAAAAATAAAATCATTAATTACATTTTCTCATTGTTCACAAAAAGAAATTATATATCCTTCATTTGTACTATTAAGATAAAATTTTTGAAAAGAATTTGTTACACTTCTCATCATTACTATTATTATTGTGTTATTTTATTATATAAATAAATATATATATATATATATTTCTTTTTTTTTTTTTTTTTTTTTTTTTTTTTTTTTTTTTTTTTATATAGAAAACTTTTTTTTTTAAATTATTTTTTTTTTTTTTTTTTTTTTGTTCTTGATTTGATTATTTTCATATATATATACATATATATATGTATTTTTTCCCATTTTTTTTTTGGTTTATTATTTTTAATGTACTTTTTTTAGTTAATTTCTTTTTAATAAAAACGTTGACATAAAAAGAAAAACAAAAATGGCTATAAATACTAAGATATATATTTCAAAAATAAAGATAAAATTAAAAATACATTAGTGTATTAAAAAAAAAAAAAAATAAAATAAAATAAAATAAAATAACATTTTGAATTATTCAAAAGAAATTTTTACTGAAATTACACTTATAAATGCTTATAACAGAAATTAGTTCAATAAATTGTTATTAAAAAAAAAAAAAAAAGAATGTATATATATGCAAATGATATTAATATAAAATAAATATTCTTCTATAATTTAAAAGTTAAACTTTTTACAAAATTATGACAAAAATTTTACATTTTTATTTATTTATGATTTTACAATTATTCCTTTTATGAGAATATGCGTTAATGTGTTCAAAAAAAAAAATTATATTTTTTTTTTTTGATATTTTTATATAATTAATCAAGTGATGATGTATTATTCTTTACTGCTTTCATTTTTACTTAAACTTTGTAAGTTTTGAATATATTCAAAAAAGTTGAAAGCAGATAAATCGTTTAAGAATTGTTGTGAATAATAATAATTGGATGCAAGTGCGGAAGCAAATAAAGACCTTATATAAACATGTGGAACTCTTTCAAATATTTGATCGAAAGTTACAACTTTCAGTAATATAGGTGGAATAATATCTTGTAAAACTTTTTTTATTAATTTGTAATCATTACATAATGTATTTGATTCTAATATATCCTTTTTTAATTCGCTAATTTTTTTTGATAGAATATTGGTAGCCTGACAAATAGAAGTTTTTGTTCTTCTAGTTTCACTCCATAATGATTCAAACTCTAATTCACAATAATGTCTAATTTTTTTTTGAATTTCTTTAACATATTCTTTATAAAAGGAAGAAATATTTTCATCTTCATCATCACTTAAAAGAACATCATCTTCATCTTGTACTCCTTGATTAATTTCATTATTCGTATTATCACTATTTATCATAGATCTATTGAACGATGGTAAGTGGTTTTTTTTTTGATTTTGGCTTATAAAAGTTAATTCACTTTCTTCTAATAATAACATATCACTCTCAGATGAACACATCAATTTAATATATTGATCATCATCCAAAACTAATCCAGCTAAAACTTCTAAACTACTTGATATAACACCTCCTTTGTTGGTTGAAGCATCTTTAAATAAAATAACATTTTTATTTTCTAAAATATTTCGAGCATCATCAGAAATAAAAACATTTGCCCCTTCTACTATATATTTATAAATACATTCACCATCTTTAATAATATTATTAACATTAAAAATATTAATAGAATGTGGCCTACCACCACATGGGTTAAATAAATCACATTTATTTAATGGGTTTAAAAAAAAGTTATTACGAAAATCTAAACCACTTTTAATAGTTTTACCAAATAACTCTACATTATGATCTTCAATTGATATTTTAAAACCATCTTTAGAAAAATATTTTTCATTATAAAGTATACATGAAGTATTTAATTTTTTTTTTTTATAGTTTCTTCGTTTAGCTAATCTTATTAATTCCTTTTTATTTAATCCATTTTTATCATATAAAACACCAGAACCATCAATAATAGATATAATTTTTGTTTTTGATTGTAAAATACTATTACTACCTAAATCTCCATCAGGTCCACCAACTATTGATCTATATATATCTTCTTCTTTTAAATTTAATTTTTCACATAGCATTCTAATATATGTTTCTATTCCTAATGTTGTCATACCATAAGCGTCATGTGGAACCCCCCCATTTTTTTTTAATTTTCCTGTTGAAAATGTTTTCCAATATTTGTATTTTCTCTTTTTTGCCATAATAGAAGCCCAATCCATCAATTGATCAGATCCAGTATTTTCATCTGGTCCTAAAAAGATAAGATCTTCATTTATATCTTCTAAAATTTTCTCTTTTTTATTTATTTCGATGTTATTATTTGAACAATGGTTACTATCATTTGTTTTTGAAATAATTTTTTCTTGGTTAATATCCTCTATTTTTTCATTGATATCATCTTTTGTTGTGTTACATTTTTTTATATCTTCATTTATTTTATTCATTTCATTAATTCTCATATTTTGTAAATCATTTATTTCACTCATTGCACCAAAAGAAATAGAAGATGGATTTTCATCTTCTTTGTTAATGAGCAAATCTAGTAGAGAATTAACATATGAATAAAAACATAAGTTTTTGATATATTTTGTATTCACCTTATTACAAACATCAGATTTTAGTAAAATTATTCCTTTGCTACCTCCCTCAGGGATATCTTTATTTTTAAAATTTTGTGTATATGCTAAATTATAAGCTTCATCAAATAAATTATCAAAATTATGCATATAAGAATTTATATTATTAGATATAACTATTCTTATTCCCCCTCTTGATATTTTACTAAATCTGATATGAAATCCAACAAAGTGTAATCCTAAAATCATGATAATAGAATATGGTTGTGTTTCGTAAATGGAATCTTTCAATAACTCACCATCAAAAGATATAGCAAAACTTATTTTATGAGTTAAAAAAAAGTTAGTTTTTACTGCATATTTTTCAAACATATAAAAATATTGTAAAATTTTTTTATGATGATTATCTTCAATTTCATCAATAATATCTTTACTATTTTTATAATTTTCATCTTTTGATTTATCATCCATTTTTTTGTTTTTATGAAATTTTCTTTCAAAATTTGCAAATAACAACTTTATAGTTTTAGCATTACTCTGAGCACACTTTAAAATTTCGTTCTTCGTATATTTTGAACTTTTTAATTTTTCCTTAATGATATAAAAATCATTTAAAATTGAAGTACTATTATCACCTTTTACGTGTAATGCATTTTCTACATTTTTATAACTAGCATAAGAATTAGTTGAAAAAAAAGTAATAAATTTTATAACAATATAAATGTATGCAGATTCTTCAGCTGTGAAAATTCTTTTTACAGATAATTGAATAAACTGAGGGTTATGAAAAAGACAAAGAGTTTTCAATGATTTTACAATTTTTTGAATTTTTTCTTTAATATCCAAATTTGTTTTTTCTTCTTCTGTATCTGTAATTACATTAACATTTAATATAATAATTAAGACTCCGTTCTTTAATGGTTCAACATATTTAGAATAAGAAAAACATCTATGCATATTTAAACAGTCTCCAACTAGAGAAAAAATAGATGGAATAACATTACTCCTTTTTACCGCTATATTTAAAGTAAAAGTTTTTTTTGAAGTTATATAATAATGTGTTTGTATATACTGCCCAGTTAAATCATACAATACTTCTTTATTTAGTTCGTAATATATTTGTTCACTTTTAGTACCTTTTATATAACTATAAAAATTTATATCCATTAATTTACTTAAATTTGTTTCATTTTCATTAATTAGACCATCATTATAAGTTGGTAACTCCAATATATATGTTCTTAATGGTTCTTGACTACTACGTTCTTTATCAAAAACTGAATGAACTGATCTAAAACTTTTTAATCTATAACAGTCTTTCGACATATCACTAAAATTAAAATATTTTTCTTCTATTTTCTTTTCCATTTTATAATTTAATCGTGTTTTATTATCATCTGCATATACTCTAGTAATTATATAAATTACATTATCATGTTTTTCTTCAAATATTGGAAAGTATTTATCACTTGAATATTCTTCATTAATTTTCGCAGTTATTATACACACAACCACTTTACTTATCATTTCAGAACTAGTTTCATCAAAATGACATTTATTAAAACCTAATTTATTAAAATAAAAATCAACACTAGAATTTATTAAATGATCTGAAAATAAATTGTAACTTTTCAATAATTCTTTTGTTTTTTCATATTTTTCTTTCCATATCACACTATTATTAGAAAACTGCTCGATATCAAAACATTCTCCACTATCAATAGGCAAACTTATTGTTCTTTTATTCAATATACTCATTTTAATTCTATTTATTTCTTTTTAAATTTTTATCTTTTACAAAAAAAAATATATTAAAAAATTCTTAAAATAATTATAAATATTTGGAATTTTTACAAATATTTATATAGTCAAAACTTTTTAAAAATTTTCAAAAAATATGAGTATTTAATATATTTTAAATTTATATAAAAATAAGTACATAAAAATAATGATAAAAAAAAAAAAAAAAAAAAAAAATTAATTCATAATAAACTTGAAAAATATTAAAAATAATTTTTTAATGTTCAATTCAAATTAATGTATATATTATCTTTTTATTTATTTTTTTATTTTATTTTATTTTATTTTATTTTATTTTTTTTTTTTGAAGATACGAGTATGGAGAATTTACAACCAAGATTAATTTAAATGAGGTAGAAAAAAAAAAAAAAAAAAAAAAATATATTTCATCTTTATTTTTTTTTTAAAAACAAAGATAATAGTTCTTTTTTTCTTCAAAAGTATTCTTTTAATATTTATTTTTAATTTTAAATTAGAGTTAATAATTTTTGGATTTTTATTAACTGGATAGCTAAAATAAACTTAACATATTTTTTATATCCCACTATTTTACTATTTTGATAATCCACATATTTTACTGCATGTAATTTTTTTTTTTTTTTTTTTTTTTTT